GTACAAAATGTGGGACTGTTCTATTCCGTATTCAAGTATAGTAGTTTGTAACAACAAAGGTTTGTTGAAAAATGATGGTTTGGCAAAGTTCTTTAGCAGATTTTGAGGTGTTTATAAACCAGTATATTTTTTTTTGTTAGGTGTAAGAAATAACCTCTCAGACTAACCAGTATTTCACATAAAGTAATGATTACTCAGCCTAGACACTAGGCTTTTTCCGGCGCGGTTTCTTTGGTTTCATGACGTCACAGAGATGAATGCGCGGTAAAAGCCTAGCCGATTTCACAATCCAATATGGCGGACTATGATGAGTACAACGAAAGTAAACAATATACCTTGTTTCCTTGTACTCATCCTACTTGTGCCAATTCCAAGAAATGGTATAAAAAACTTGAGCAGCACTATAACTGCGCGCATGAAGGGGAGCAGTGCTGTTTAGAAGATGCCATAAAAGAGCGATGGAGACGGCGAGGACAAAGAATGCTAAATAAAATTATGCAATCATGTTCTGATATGGTTGGTATAAAATTAATATGTATTTTCGACTATATATCTTTAAGTCAAGATTAACTTCAAAATAATCTTTTCATAGCTATTAGTTGGTATTTTAACACTGTGTATAAGTTTTTTAATTTTTTGGTTCTTAGGCCACATAAAATAAATTCCTTGATTCTCATCACTACACTTTGAAAATGTCGAAGAGGCGGGAGGTTTATATTTTATATTTATATAATTTAAAATATATCAATAAATAAAAGTGTCACAAACTTAAATAAACATATTTCTCCACAAACAATGACTGGGCCCTTGAACTGAATGCGAAGTTCCGTTAAAATGCAATGAAATTTCTTTCAAGGTTCTATTTGTTTGAAATTGGCAGTTTAAAATGGCACTAAAAACCCAATATAAAATATAAAAAACTTAACTGTCTTGAAATATTTTGTCGGGCGGTACATTTATATTGTATAACAAAATATAAAAAAAATTCACGCGGCTCTTAAAATACAGTGGGGCGGTGATGAGAATCAAGGAATTTATTTTATGTGGCTTTAGGGACAAGTCATTAATATTAATGCCGGGTAGGGAGCCGAAGGAAATTTTTATGAATAGCAAAAATTTTTCATGACCCCTTAAGGATTTTTCTAACAAAATCATTTTATCACCCCCCCTTATTGAGGCAACATATTTCATAGCCCCCCCCCCCAATTCTGAATTCGATGACTCTAAGTCAGTTTCATAAACATTTTTCCTGCCCTCATACTCAGTTTACTTGCAGCTGTAAAGAATATTGTAAATATTGAAAATGATAGCCAAGGTGGACAGGAGTGACTTTAGTTTCACAATAGACACGATAGATAATTCAGACTTTATACCTGAAAAGTTGTTGGCCCTCAAACAAAAAACCCACACATCAGGCCTAGTCTTTTACTAATTGAAAAAAATACATTTGTGTCTGGTGGAAGCATTATATTGAAGAGATGGCAGAGGAGACTGTCAACAACATGCAGAAACAGAACATGCCAAAGAGGTCCACTGTGTTAAAAAGTGTAAAACAGGGCAACAACTGTCAATTAATTCTTGCATTTGCAAATGCATATCACGACCCTCTAGACAAATTCTACGGTGATGATGAGGATGACAATTTCCATATACAGTAGCTAGAACACAACTTTAGGTTCCGATATATTGGGCATTACTGTTCAATGTATGTATGTATACTGTATATATCCATAACTCTTTTGATATTACATGTTACAAACTATTCCATAGATTTTATTTTTTGCCCCCCCCCTTTATGTTCAAAATATTTTCTCCCCCCCCCCTCGCTGGTCAAAAATTTTTTGTGGCCCCTCTAAATTTCCTCCGGCCCCCTACCCAGCATTAATAATGACTGGTCCTTTAAAACTATAAATCAGGATTTTTTTCAGGGATTTTTTTAGGGCCATTAATAAAACTGCCCCAAAAACTCAATCTTAAATTGAGTTTTGAAACTCAATCTTCTCACCAAAGTTTCAGTGCAGTAAAAATGAAGTTGTTTGAGTTAAATTTTGTATGTGTGGAAATTAGTTTTCAGTTGCAAGCCCAACAATTAAGAAAAAATGGCTGGAATTCATCTCACAACACAAGAAAAACTATGCATTCGCCGTCTCAACTACATTTATTGAGTACAGGTGTCAGCTCCCCGGTAGGGGTGGGGGGGGGGGTGCAGCCACCCCAGCTGTTCAGCTAAACTCAATCTTCTCTGCAAAAACGGACCCAAAAAAAAATCCTGAAAAAAACCCTGATAAATATATTTTATCATTTTTTTCTTTTGAGGTTGATGGTAACATTTATAATTTGAGTTCATGTGAACAAGACTTTCAACTCCAATCTACAAGCTCGGAAATAGCTGAATTGAAAGTTGCATGCGTATTACTGGAACAAGGGAAATTGAAACAATATTCTGAAGAGCCATACAGAGAAATAACTGTGAAAACACCCAATGAGACTGTAGTATATGAAGCTTGGAAAGAATTTGACGAGCAACAAGATAAATATCTTCCTAAAATCCAAACAAAGAGAACAACTGTTAACATGGGATGGTTTGAAAATAATACAGGACTTTCAGATATTGCTACAAGCACTGAGTTTGGTATACCAGAGGAAAGACGTGATGATGTTGATGATGTGAGTGACCCGTTTTCATCTGTATGTATCAGCTCTGAGTCTCTTGTGGCAGCTACAGAAACAGTTCTTAAACAGTTAACAATGCCTGTAACACAGGCCGAGCAACTACTTCCTCTAATGGAAGCAATCTTTGGCCATTCATCATTTCAGCTGAAACAAAAACAAGCTATTAATTCATGCCTGCAAAAAAAGAATACATTTGTTGTGATGCCCACCGGAGGGGGAAAGTCTATGATATATCTCCTACCAGCATTGGCACAACATGGTTTATCTATTATTATTTCACCGCTTAGATCACTGATTGAAGATCAAATTTCCAGATGCACTTCTCTCGGTATATGCTCAGCCTTTATAATGGGGGAAATGACTAATACTGAAAAACAGAAAGTATATTGTGGTCTCAAGCAGCCACAATGTCCATTCAAGGTGTTATATACCACACCTGAGGTAATCACAACTGATAAATTGCTTCGTGATATTTTACTCTCTTTGCATTCAACTGGAGCCATTCAGCAGTTTGTCATTGATGAGGCTCACTGCGTTAGCCAGTGGGGTCATGACTTCAGGCCATCATACACTGATGTTAAATTAATTTTTTATGACTACCCCAAAACACCAGTTTTAATGCTAACTGCATCTGCAACAACCGAAGTTGTAAGTGAAGTGGTGGCAATTCTTGGATTAACAGATGTAGAAGTGATTACATCTGATTTTGATCGACCTAACCTGGTTTATTTGGTCCAACAGAAGTCATCAAAAACAGTAGCAGATATTGTTGATATAGTTAAACCACTATCATGCTCACTTGTGTATTGTTCATCTCGAACAGAGTGTGAAGAATTATCAGCAAAACTGGAGTCTCACAGCATCATGTCAAAGGCATACCATGGGTCAATGTCTAAACAGTTGCGTTCTTCCCTTTACACTCAGTGGATGGCAGGAGACTTGCAAGTGCTATGTTGTACAAGTGCATTTGGTATGGGTGTAAACAAATCAAATGTACGAGCTGTTATTCATTATTCACTCCCTGCGTCTATGGAAGATTACTACCAACAAATTGGACGTGGTGGGCGTGATGGTCTACAATGCAAATGTGTATTGTTTTTTAGTGCAACAGATCAAATATGTCATGTGCAGCGTATTTTTGCCAAATACAATAAAGACAGTGCAGCTTTAAGTGCAAGACTTAAGAACTTCCAAGCACTCATGAGCTATTGCCTTAATAAACATCTCTGCAGAAAACGTGTACTTTTAAATTATTTTGGGCAGAGTCCTTTAAAAGATTGCAATTGTCAGTGTGATGTTTGCACAACACAGTGTAATACAAAGGAGTTGGATATTACTAATTATACTTTATCAATTGCTAACTGCATTCAGAAACTAAAAAATGACTACAATGGGAAGAGGTTAACCGTCAAGCAGCTGGCAAACATTATCACTGGTAAGAAAACCTCTGAAATTATAAAGAAAAAGTACAATGAGTTACCTGGTTATGGTTGTTTTATGGAAACATCAGAGCAAGGTGAACTTCTATTACGCAGACTTGTAGTGGTAGACATTCTCAGAGAGGTTCCCAATGATGAGAATCCAAGAAATGCCTTGTATGTTGATATCGGCTCCAAATTTATGACTATTCTAAACAATGAAAACAGAATAACATTTTTTAAGGTAAATAAATTGCGTTAACTTGTCCAAATTACAAACTATTAAATTAAGGTGGCTAGATATTGTTTCTTAAAAAATGGATATTTACAATTTTGACCTGAATTTTTGGGAAAATTATTCTGTTTGAAAACAAAGAATACCTTTTTTATGTAAAACAACATATAGAGTTATAGACTTGAAATTCTTTCATAAAAAGTTACACAACTGCCATTTCTATGGATCTAAAATGTTAATTTCCATTTTTTTAAAAACTGTATAAAGCCACCTTTAATTATGGGTTAAGTTATGACCTATGTATGTAAATAATGTACGTGTGTTTCGGATCACAATTGTTCAATATTATACTTACAGAAAATAGTATCATGCATTTGTTTACCATGAGGCTTGATCGATCATCATTTAACAGAAATCTTCAGGCAAATCTTTAAATATCCTCTATCCTGAAGACCCATCCGTACTCTTGGTAAAATTTACGAACGTTTGCGTAGGAAATTGTCTATATATCATTTCACTAAAACTCTCTTTAATCTTGTTACATCCTCTCTCTTCTACATTCAAGCATTCTTTTGGAATGTTAGCAAGATCACTTAGTTCTTTCTTTCCATGTGGGTATAAATTAACTGTCTTTCTTTGTGCATTTATCAGCCATTTATGATGTATTGCAAACCATGCAACTTTAATCCAGTCTGGTGTTGGATCAGGTACAGAAGATTTCCCTCCTATACTGGTGTCAAAACTCTGTTGGTATATCGATTTGATATGTTCAAGGAGTTCAATGTTCATACAAATCTTCCCTAACATTTCGATTGTTGTTTGTTTCCGACCATACAGCTTTACAGGCTTAACAACAAATGTCTCCATGTATTCATCAATTGCAAAGTTATGTCCGTGTTTTCCTTTAACATTAACACTGCAGTTACGGCGGAACATTTCTCTGTAGGCTAAGGGCCAAAGTGCTGTAAAATTTAGCATGTGTACTAAACTCTCAGTTTTGTAGTTTTTTTTGTTGAATGCTGCAAAAATAGGTGTTAACTCTATCCAACAAGCCTCCCTTGCTTTTCCATTACCCATTCTTACTGCTTGGCGAAGTTTGTACAGAAGAGGTCCAAACTTAGTCAAAAACAAATAAAAATATTCAAATGTGCTGTCCGTTTTGTTATAGTCCAGCCAATCTTTGAAGCACTTTAACACAAATTTGCTATATTCTTGATCTTTCTTTTTATAATCTTCAATTATATAGCTTGGTGGAAAAAAAGTCGACGACTGAAATTCCTTTACACAAGCTACCATAACTCCCCAGAAAAAATCTTCAATGGCATTAAAGTTTCTTTGAAAGTTACCATGATTAAAATGTCTTCGAACGATTTCGGTGTTACTTTCAATCTGTTTAGCACTTGCCTTGCAACATAGTAGAATCCACCAGGTCCCATTATTCTTGCTATGCACTGCGTAATATATCCTTGTGTGTGGAAATCACCCGGCGCTTTTGTGAAAGAACCAAATTCATCAGGAGATCTATTTCTTACCCCTCTAATAGTCATAGTGGTTTTAACATCTCCCACAGTTATAACATGATCTCTCAACGGACGCTTTGCTGCTGTTGTATCTTCTGCATTTGATGAGGTGTTAGCATGCTCGGACAGTTGTTCAGCAGTGTCAACATGTTCGTCAAGTAGTTCAAAAACAGAAGCAGTAATGGTATTTTTTTCTTGAATGTGTTCAATTATGCAATTGTAAATTGATTCATCCTTTATTGATTCAGCAATCTGAAGAGGTGATGGTATGTTCCCAGGAAATGTTCCGTCACACCTTGCACCATATCTATATAAATGGTAGTTGCAGAATAAGGTTAGGGGCCATTCACAAAGGATGTCCGAGGGGAGGGGGGTTTGGAAAATCAGGACAAACTCGGACATAGGGGGGGAGGGGGGTTTTTAGCAATCCGGATGTCCGAAATTTAAAAAAAATCAAAAACAAATTTCTTTTTCCCTCTATTTTGAGCAGTCCTTCCCATTGTGAAATTGGCATTTTGACTATGCGGTTAACACTAGATTTTGTTTTAATTAGTAATTTATATGTTTTTGTGTTCACATTTATAGTTATAAAAAAGTTCTAAAAGTAAAAAAAGTTTTTTACTCCTGATATATACAAGGTTGCGTGAGTTGGCAGATGTCCGGGGGAAGGGGGTTCACTAATTCGGACAATGCCGGATAAGGCGGGGAGGGGGGGGGGGTCTGAAAATCCATCATTTGGCCGGACATCCTTTGTGAATGGCCCCTTAGTTTCACATCTATACATAGTTTCTTTAGCACTCTGACGTTTTGCAGTTACAGTACATATGCATCCTGTATATATAATAACTTTTTCCTCTTGAACGAGTTACCATGGATTCAAACTATTAATTTCACACAGAGTTACACTCTCAAGACATTTCCTTATTTTAGAACTGTATAGACACTGTATAGACAGTCTAAAAAACCTTATTATACATTTACATGGTAAAGTGACTTACCGAATTAATATCTTCACCAAATCGAGATTATTGGTATTTATTGCTATCATCAAGGGTGTTAATCCGCATCCTTCTAAAGAGTTTACTGGAGCTCCGGAAAGTAAGAGAGCCTCTACCAGCTTTTTGTTTTCAGTCTCAACAGCCATGTGAAAGAGGTTGCACTCGTATCCATCTACCTGCCCTATCCACTCTGAAATATGAAGTTTTACTGCCGAATACGCATCAGAAATATTCTTATCTTGCACTAGCAACTTCATCTTCTTCAAAAGTTTTGACATGTGTGATGAAATCTGTTTCATTTTAGTTTTGAAACTCGATGCCAACTTTTCAGATTGTACACCGATGAGATTATCCTCCAGATCGTCACTACCGCTATGATTGTCATCATGTTTAGGAAAAGATCGATGCGACACAAATTGCTGTTTCAACGAAATCATGTCGTTTTGATGTTGTTCCATTTCTTTGTAGAAAATATATCTTTCTCTTGCTGCTTTAATGTCAAATTTATTATTTTTCTCATTGAATACAATATATTCTGTATTCTTCGAGCATTTAATGTTCAAATCTTTGGCAAATTCTTTCAGAACATTTGCTGTCCCACACGTTTGAACCTCGTCTTCCAAAGATAATGGCAATATCATAACTTGTGTTTTTACGCTTGAAATTTCGGGATATTCTGGTTGCACAAGAGGCACAGATATTTCAATGTCATTTTTCTCTTTATAATATTCTTCTTTCTTCAGGTAGTCCATCAGATCTTTCTCAGACATGCTTAAAAGTTGTTCCTTGCTTTTATTTAGAGATATACCCAGTTTTAGACCTTCAAGCAAAATCCTGTCCGTCCCTTCATTATGTATAGCCAATAACTCTTTGTGGTTTTCTGTAATGAAAATGCCTTGTTTAATATGGTAGTACATACCATTTATTTTGTTTAAATCCAGCAAAAATGTTAAAAAATTACATATAGTCAATAAATTATACCGAAATGTATTATGTTGGTTAGGTTGACATGCCATTAAGTTGCAAGTTGATAGGCCCTTAAACTTAGGAAATTGCTTTGCAGCAAGTTTTCTGTTGTAAGTCGTCTATACTGTATGCCTTACGTATTCTTACTGTACAAAGCAAAATTTGCAAGTTTAAGGGTCTATAAAATAGGCAATAATCCAACATCCCTTGCATGCAGTTTTCTGTTAACCTCAAACTTACCATCACTCCTCATTAGCATTTCATCTGGTAGGGGCCATTCACAAAGGATGTCCGAGCCGAGGGGGGAGGGGGGTTTGGAAAATCAGGACAATCTCGGACATAGAGAGGGGAGAGGGGGGAGTGGGGGTAGCAATCCGGATGTCCGAAATTTCAAAAAATTCAAAAACAAATTTCTTTTTCCTCTATTTTGAACTCTCGCTCCCACTGTGAAATTGGCGTTTTGACTTGCGGTTAATACTATATTTTGTTTTAATTAGTAATTTATATGTTTTTGTATTCACATATATACTTTTATAGTTATAAAAAAGTTCTAAAAGTGAAAAAAGTTTTTTACTCTTGACACATACAAGGTTGCGTGAGTTTTTGCCAGGCATGGCGGATCAGGGGGAGGCGGGCAGTTACTAATTCGGACAATGCCGGACAAGAGGGGGGGGTCTGAAAATCCATCATTTGGCCGGACGTCCTTTCTGAATGGTCCCTAATGGAAATCATGAACCACTTGAAGGTGTACCATTTCATCTGGTAATGCCAATGGAACCACCAGAAGATTCCATTACCAAATAAAACACTGCATAGTAATATATAGTATTGTTTTATAAATATTGTGTTAAAATTATTCAAAACTATGATTATTCCCATCATTCTTGACAATCTTAATTGAATTAGCTGTATACCTTACCAAGCATAATAACATCTTCTACTGTGACATCCTTAAGCTCTTTTTGGGATTCTGAAGCAGTTTTACTGTTATCAAATAAACTCTTTACATTTTCAACAATAGGTTTAATGACTGCTTTGCCAGTGAAATTCCACATAATGGGAACTGTTCTTTCTTTGATTCTTGTGTGGCGAGCTTGTCCTTTGTGGATATTAATGTTATCATATGCAACAATGACTGGACAATTGTCAGGAAATGATTTAGCTGCAATATCTTTGTACTTGTCTTTTCTTTTGTCCAGAAAACTAAGACTGCCAAAAAGATAATATATCTTATTAATTTATTAAAATATCCCTCAAATACAATTTACAACAATAGGTATGTGCATTACACTAGGAAAGAAAGAAGAATCAGGTAGCTAATCACTATCCCTTGTCAAGGCATATCAAAGGCGCTACAGGCAACTGCCATTTCACAGTTCGAATCACAGATAAGATCTTATGTTGGTTTTATTAATAAGGGAGAAAAACTGGAGTACTCAGTAAAAACCCCTCTAAAAACAGAAGTTTTACATTGCAACAATTTAACCTATCAAATTGACAGTTCAAGCAATGTGCCTTACACTACTTTATTCTTTTACTTGCGGGCTGACTATCTGTACAAAGAGGTGGCCATATGTTAAATATTGAATTAATGCAATTACTTACTAGAAATCATAACTTTTGCACAGACCAAAAGGTTCTAAAGTCCGCAGTACAACTTTTCCAGCACCATATGAAATCAGCAGTAGTCCAAACAGTGTTGAAAAGGCAGTGGTTGTTCTTTGGCTTTTAATGTCATCCAATGCAAGGACCATTTGAAGGGCAGCTTTGAATTTGTACGAGACAGTCTTCTTACACTTATTGTACTTTGACCATTTACCGACTGCAAGGGTCTCCACAATCTCAGTCAGTAGTGGACAATATTCACGTACTTTAATAGCTATTTGGTCAAACGTTCCTTCTCCGAATATAAAGTTTAAATCTTCACTTTCTGTCATATCCACGACTGTAAATTGACATATCTTCTGAAATTCCAGAAGTTCTACTTCCAGGGCTTGCTTATCAAATTTTAATTGGTCCTGATCATTGTGGGACGGCGGCTTATGCTCTTTGCTATTGCCAGTTGAGTCACAGTGGTCATCAGTATCATGTGTTTTGTCACTATCAGAAAATAAATTTCGTTTAATGGACTTTGCTTTTCCATTTTTCATGTTTGTTGCTGAATCCTCTTTGGCAGAAAACATTAATTGTTGCTTTAAATCAAAATTTTCTTCAATGAGTGGTGTAACATTTTCCAAAACAGTTTGTTGAATAGCTGTTACTATGTCATCACCCAAATTTGGTTGAATTTGTGCAAGAGAGCCATAAATATTATGCCATATATGAGAAGCAGATTGTTTTGATATTCTTGAGATGTTCACCAAGACAGTTCTATATTAGGTTGTTAAGGAAATCAGCAGAAAGTTGTACACTATATTAACTATGACTAATTAATTAATTAATTTAAAAGAAGTTAATTTAATAAAGTAAATTAAGAAAGTGCAAGTGTGTGACGTAATATTACAGTTCAACAAATGTATTATATTATAGCTAGGATACAATCTTTTTCTATTGTCACATCCATCCTTTTGGTCACCAACACGGATTGTCTTCTTTTCAATTTTACCGAGTGTTTGCACAGCATCAAATATTTTATGTTTAGTGATCTTATGACCAACAACTTTTTCTAGCTGAAGCTCCACTTCTGTCTGAGGTATACAATTACCAATTTGAAAAACAAAATTCCTCTTGACAGCATCAAATAAACTAACTATACAATAGAGAAAATATTGAAATTTAATGAATACAAAAAATAATGTGTACAAAATAAAACCTGTTTAAATTTTGAGCCAATTGGCATAATAACCCCCATAACATGGTGGAATGAAGCAGGTTCATTTGAAATAAATTGAGGATGAATGTAAGAAATATAATTATACATCAGATCTATTGATGACTTGGAGTTCGTTGTGGTGGATTTAGTGGTAGGGTTGCAGGGGGGTGTGCACCCCCTCTTTATCCTAAGTTTATTCTAATTCTAACCAACTTAAGTTAAGAATTCAAGGCAGCTGGTAGCACTAGTTCACAATAGCAAATATTAATATTAAATATTCTGAATTTTGCTGTAAACATCCATCGTTATAATTTATATTGTATCAGCTCAATGGCCACCCGCAGCTCACATAGCAGGGCCAGCACCCCCCCCAAAAAAAAAAACCCTCCTGGATCCACCACTGATCCAATCAAGTTTATTTATCAATAATGATGTTGTGTTTCTTTGCACTTTATTGAAAACAGATTTCTTATTTACTTAATGTCATAAAACTAATCCATTTCAAATGTACAACGTGGATTGAACATTTAATGTGTTAGGTTTCATGAAATGATTGTGCCAGAAATTGTGCAGTGATTCATAATAAACATGTGCGACAAAATATAGACTGTGCCACAAAAGTTCATTTATAATAATCGATCATTGCGGATATGCAGATATGCAATGACAACAATGTTAACATTATAATATATAATAAAATATAATACTACCTGAAGAGGTCACAATTTTCCTTTTAGATTTTCGGTAACCAGGACTTGGGGTAAATCTAGGACCTTGCCTTTTCTTGCTTTTACTTATTCTAGACGGACTTGATCGAGGGCTTGATACAGTCGCTCTGGTTTCTTCATTGTAATACGAGTCTGCTTAAAATAATTACAAAACAAATGAGGTGAAATCCGATGCCCTTGACTATAAATATACATTAATATTAATATATGTCAACACCATTCAAATTTAGCATACTTATTCATATGAAGTCAAGCGTGGGCGTTAAATTATTTGATTACAATTTTGATGATAAAAATATAGTTTTCGGACCTTACCTTGCATGTTATGCGCCATTTCGCAATCAGGGCAGTTTCAGGGCAGTTTTGGCCTTGTTGTTGGGAAATCCACTAGGCCTTCTATTTTTTCTTCCTTTGCCCCGCCCCCAAATCACCTAGTCCCAGTCTTTTCATGTGAAAAAGCGCTGAATATTAAAAATATATAAATAAAAATAGAAGGCCTAGGTCTAGGCTGATGATTACTGAGAAAGTAAACATGAGACTGCATTACTTTGAATGTGTACCTTTTCCTTTGTTTGTGTGGAAATGTTAGTTGCATAATTATATTTTTTCATATTTCCAGAGCAAGACGAACATTGCTAGTTTGGGAGTGCGGCAGATTCAACGACGGATAACTCAGTCTGGTTTTACCAGGTCTGTTGATGTTCAGGTAATCAGAATGTTAATGTTGTATTTGAATCGAACCTTTGAATTTGAAAATGATCCAAAGTTTGTTTTGTGTTATGTTATGACCGCTGACATTATTAGCCTCTTACAGGTAAACTATGTGAAGCGTTCCTCTTTTGACTTCGTAACTCATTTGGAATTTTCCTCATTAGCTTTGCAAATTTGAAAAACTCTTTGCAAATCCCTTGAGGGAATTTGCAACGTTCCTATCAGCTTTTGCAATATTCCAAACTTCATTTTAAATTTTCCTAACTTCCTGTTTTAATTTCCTAACATCCTGTTCTGTTCTGAGCGTTGTTATTGTTCGATTATTTTTGTTAGCCAATTGTAACGCCCAGAACAGAACAGGAAGTTAGGAACTTGTAACAGGAAGTTAAGAACTTCTAACAGGAACTGAGGGAAATTGTATTGGCTTTTAGCAATATTGCAAATTTCCTCAAGGGATTTGCAAGGGAGTTTTTTGAATTGCAAAAATAATGAGGAAAATTGCAATCAATTTAGAAACTCAAAAGAGGAACGCTTCACGTAGTTTACCTGTAAAACCAAAAATAACTGCATAGCCCAATTTCTAGTTAGCACTAATAATTAATATTATTATTAATTTATATTATTTTTTTTAAATTTCTACAGTAGTTAGCATTCTGGTCGTGTTTGTTTTAGTTTTACTCAAAGTTTATATTGCATAAATCGATATGCAAAAACCATTGCTTGTTTTAAAAATTTAATCTTTTTGTTTTTTATTTATCATATTGAGCGGCAATTTCATTTTAGCTTTATCCTGTGCATTTAGCAGTTTTAGGCCTAATAAGTATATTTCTGTATGTTGGACGAATTCAAATTTCTTGTGGGCTCCTGCCAACACGTTTTTTTTTTTCAATTTTCCTATGAAACTATATTATTGTCCAAAAAAGGTGAATTTTCAGGTTCGTTTATTGGGAATATAACTTGTGTCATCAGAAAGTTCATAAAAACTACATATAGCACATTATTATGGTTATCTTGATTTTCAAGTTCTTGTTGAGTCACGAGCGTTTGAAAACATACTGTATTTTCAGTACTGATTAATTATTTTCGTGTTTTAAACCTGTATCTCCCTGACTAGTGTATATCTTGAGTTTTCAAGATGTTTTCACTGTTCATCTTGTACTTATTAAATTTTATTTATATCTGTTGTTATTTTCTTGTCAGCTCGAAGCATTGACAAAAGCCAAACAAGCCAATCCAAAAGGACGCTGGTGGATTAAGGCTGATGCATGTGATGTTCGTATGGGATTGAGAGAGAGTGTACGCGGAGAGTGGTCTGGAGATGAAGATCTTGGTTCTGGTGAACTAAAAGTGTTGCATGAAGAGTACAAGTCAAGATGTGCATTCGTACACGAGCTCTAGGCATGCAAAAGAGTAATTTTGCTCGACTTAATTCCACCTTAGAAGCAGACCTTACTTTCTTGGTCAAAGGTGATGAATCAGCAAAAAAACCAATACGAACAGGCACTTCAAGTTTCAGGGAAAAGCGAGGCAAAGTTAATGGAACTGGCTTGGAATTCTACCGGGTTCACAGAACTTGTGAAACAAGCAAATGAATTCAAGAGTGAAGTCACTTTGTGCGTGGAATATTTACAAAAAGCAGAGAATCCAAAAGTCAAGCAGCTTCTACCCAACTTAATCCGAAGACTACTTACGTATCTTCATGGGTTATTTACCAAAAGAAGAAATCCAGCCAGTCATCTTCTAATATTCATGATTTCGGATGAGCTAAGGAATCGTAAGTCATATGCCGTACCTGTGCGATTCCTACCTTACAAGTCTCTGACGGATAAGATGCTAAGGGATCTGCAGTTGGAGGTTGAGCACAAAATGAGAACCGTGGATATGGATGTTGTTGGTAAGGAATGCACACATGTAATGTGTTCTCTATGAAGATACTATATGGGATGGTTGTACGAATGATGGATAGTATTATCCAGTACTTAGTATTTTTGCACAAGTTAATATAAGTTGATTGGTCAAAATCGACGTCCTAAGCTGTTATGCTCACAAATAGGTGAATGTAACAAAACCGAAATAATTTGTAGCTAGCCGTTTTGTGGAAGTTACTGATAAAGAAATAAAGCGAAATAAAAATAAATTCAACACAAAAGACTTGTGCAACAATACTAATAAAAACAATTATTTGCCTTGCAGGCCCGGTGATTATCGGGGAATATTCACCTCGACTTCGTACAATTTCTAATTACTAATGTGGTAATACTGTATGTTTGATAATCGTTTTCTTTTAAGGCTTTTCAACGGATGGAGAATTCAATTCTCTAAGGACCAACGGACTAAGAAGACCCATTTCAATTATCGAGGTCGCAAAGGAAGCAAAGAAAACTGCAAAGAGCATGAAGGCTGCAGTCGTTTCAAAGTGTTTTGAATTAGATAATCAAGGTATTGAATTACTTTTAAACATAATGGGTCAATATTTGCTAAATGGTCATTATAGAGACTTTTGCAAGCCTTCTCCCAAACCAACCTGCACAGTATAATGCATATGAACAGGAAAGACTGCTCCCATCTAATTCATCACTCAAACAGTAATATAGTGCAATAAATACACAATTGTCCAGTAAACATTTTTCTGTGTGCTTAGGAAACCCTTTGCATCAACATGAAGCAGTGCCTATTGAAGATCTACAATGGTTACACGACTTTGTGAGAAATGGTGCAGCCTACAAAACTGCATTGTACATACTGAGGAGAAGACTCTTCCCTTTCTTTTACGATCCACACCCTTGGGTAAAAGGAAGGGAGGAAACACCCGTTGAAATTATGAAATCAATAATGGCCATCTATATTTTCCGAATGGAAGTGGGAAAGCTCAAGAACCTCTCTCATGATTCGGCAGACTTCTCCAAGTATCTCTATCAACCAGAAATGGGTGAAGGTAAGTAATATGCCAACATTTTATAATTATAGTAATTCTGATGTAGAAACGTGTTATCTTTTATTTATTGTCAAAAAGCAATTTGCATATACAACAAAAGATGGCGACTAACCACTTGTACGTTTAAGCACAATAAGAAGAAAAACTACTATTCCATAAGAAGAAAAAACTATTACTTGCTTAGTTCGTATTAGCATGATAGACCAAAAAGCATTGTGGTTAAACGTACTGCCGCCATCTTTTTTATTATGCCCCACAAAAGAAGTTGTACTAGAAAGTATGAATGGGAGAGTTACATGCAAAATTTGTCATTCCATTCCACAATCTACTGCAACAATGTTTGCATTGTTATTCAGTTATCAATAATTAAAGGCTTTCAGAAATTATGCCCCCTCCCTTGGGTCTCCCTAGTGTCCACTATTCATCTACTGCTTACTGTTTTTCAGATACACAGGAATACATACATCACCGTGAACACCACAATCATCTTTTGAAAAGAATAATTGTGTGTCTTCGGGAAGGTATGATCCCGGGATTAGACCTCTGTTACATGAGAGAAGCATTACACGACCCCACAACAGGATTGACATATGAAGCGCTAACTGGGAAGAATAAACAAAGTGTACCAGATTGTGAACGAATCATTACCACAGGAGTGATAAAGTTTCTGGAGAGAAAGGGGCATAAAAGTGGTGCAGATATACTCACGATAATCTGTAATTGGCATAGAGCAGTCGATGGTAGGGGTTTGAGTGAATCCGAGCGGTCTCAATTCTGTCAGGATATGAAATGCTGGCTCTTAGATGACTGGGTACCGTGGCACCGAGATAACTCTGACTACAGTTTGATTGACGTAAATAGGTTAGTTACATCATTCTTTCATAACTAGCAAACATTCATGAAAAACCTGTGTACTTAAGAGCAGACCAAACAAAAAAATTTAAACATGCCTCCATGCCAGTTGTAGCGAAAATTTATCCTTAAATCTTACGTTAAGTGAAATGTGTTTCTTCAACTTGATTTAAGTCCAATTAGGTTCGAGCGTCATTCAAATTGATAACACTGATCAAACAAGTTCTTGGTTTTAGTTAGGGATTATTTAAATTAATAAGTTTTAAAATTATATGCAAGAAAAAGACCTAACACAAGAAAATTGCATCAAACTTTTTTATTTCATCATACAGGTCGTTGAAAGGAATATGTGGCTTCACACGAGAGATAATTGTCGGGCTGGTGGCGAACTTGGAAAGTCGACATTTGCGAGAAATTGAGTACAGAACAAGGTGTCTACAACCAGAGCATCCAAGATCATCTTCCACTGACGATGTAGAAAGTTTTATTGCTCTTTTGCACGAAATGCTTGGGCCAATTTTTGATCCAAAACAATTCTACAGTGAGCTCCCAAATATTCTGAACGAGTATAAGAAACGAATTGATACAGACTTATCATTTTTCTACTGGACTGGATCAAAGACAAGGTACAAAGACTACGAGCTACCCTCGTTTAATCTGCCGTCTGCACAGGGAGTCGTTGAAAGACTTGACCAAGTGAATTCATCAAGAAGAGGGGATCCTGGTGTCTTTGTCGCTAACAGGGCGTCACTTCCTCAAAAAGGGCAGCTCACAGCCAGAGCAAAGTTTCATCGTGCTCCAGTTGCATTACCGCCATTGCAGCAGCTTCATTGACATTAACTCTTTTAGTATAATTGAAACTATTTAATAAGCCTATTTAATAATTGTATTCTTGAATAAATATCACCATGCAAATGAAAACGTAGCTCAATAGAAAATGTAAAAAAAACTATTTAAGGTGGCTTCATACCATTTCTTGAAAGTGTAAAACACACGTTTCAGACCCAAAATCTTGTACATTGAGTACATTGATTTAATTTTTAAAGAGAGAGCATTTGCTGCTCAATGTGTTACAATTAGAGCATCCTATATTTCAATTAAGTAGTTAGTTTATTAAGTTTTGGAAAAGCCTTGTTTTCATGTAATGTGATATTATTCAAATAATGACAACATTGTAATTGTGTCATTTGTGTGTTGAATAATATGCATCTATCGAACAGCTTTACTTGCTTTTACAACATCATTGTGCCAGAATCCTTTCTTTGTGAGATCTATTGTTATATAAAACCCCACAAGCATATAAGTTGTGCGGAAACGTACACATCTGACCTCGGCATGAAAAATCTGGATCCATTAAGCATGGTTGCACATATTTTGTCAATTCCCTAGCAATATAGCCAACAAGTTCAAATTCGACATCTGTTTGCAGCAATACTGCAACTGCATTGTCATCATATGGGTTGTCTGGTTCATGCTGTAGTTTTACAAATACATGTCTGTTGTTGTCCATTAATTCAAAGGCACACTCCAGGACTTTCTGTCTGTCTGTTGAATGGCATGTCCCTAGAACCTTGAATGGCAATGTGTGTTTTGTGTCCATATCAACAGTGTTGTCACTGGTTTCTGGTGCTACATCACGTGCTACATGTTGTGATTCATCAATTGTGTTTGTTGATGGGTTAGGGGCAAATTCCCAAAGCACTGTATATGATATATCTCCAATGTTTATATCACAATGAGAAGTGCATGTCACATTTCCAGGCGAAATTTCTGTCTCCTTTTTAATTAAAGCATTTATTTCTCTCCCATTTACTTCAGCAGTTACTTTTATAAAATCCAGTGACATTACAGGGAAGCTGGGGATTGTCCAAGAAAAAGGTTTTTTCCCCAATTTTTGTGATAGTTAGCTCTAGCACTGTATCCTGACCTGAGCTATGAGCATCCAGCTGTTTTTCTGCCAAAGGTAGCTGAAATAATTATAAAAACAAATTATATAATGGCTAATGCATATTTCAAACCTAAATACCCAGTATAAAGTTCCATAAATTGCTAATGACAACACCAGACTAATACCTGTAAGTACTTATTCTCACGACCACTTCAGCTACACTGTACTTAATATTGTGTTTAAATAAAAGCTTATTATTATTATTATTATTATTAAACACCTCTTAGTATATCATGGGTTTATTTAATACCCATATATACCACAGTGTATAGTTGCATTCTAGATCCATGTGTTAGATGTGTAACTTTAGTTCACAGTTCGTAATAGTAAAAGTGTACTAACCATCTTTAGTAGAGGGAAATTGTTTTGTTTTTCACCATTCTTCATGTTAATATTCCCTGCTGCTAATTGATTTGCAAGATCATTGTCTAAAATACTGGGATTAACAGTTAAAGAATCCAAGATATAATAGATGTAGGAGATCAAATTGGAAAAGACGCATGTCATACTAATTGAAAATCAGTTTCTACCAAGCAACATACTATGTATAATTGGAGCAATTTCACCCACTGAGATAGACAGTAACATACATTTACTGAAATCTTTGAGTAGGCCTGATCTGATGGCATGCTATTAGCAGCTTTGCTCTCATGGCCCATGGCTTCAACTTGAAAGCATGAAATTAAAGTCACAATTAAATAGGAACTGGATTTAATTATAATAATCATGTACAAGGATACACCCCACAATAATCTTGTAGCTCTTTGTCTGGATCTTCAGTCCATGCTCCAAGTGGTTGCACATGTAGCTTCGTAGGGTTAAAAACTGTTTGGTGCATGAACACCGACACAGCTTTGTTAAAGAGGCATTCATAGTCATTTGAAGCACCTTTCTTCCTCAGTTCATCAAAGAGGGTGCCAGCCTTCACAAATGAAAATGCCTTGTTGATTCCAAATCCACGAATATTTTTTAAATAATCACATCCTGCAGCCACACAACCATCAACAAACTGAGCCATTGTCACTTTTAACCCATCGAGGATGTCGCACAAGTTAAAAACCTCCCCATCCCCATTCAATCTGAGTTTCACAAGAATCTAAAAAATAAATAGTAAGGATCCAAATCATTTTAAAGAACTAATACTGCAAAGTGGATACAGGTTTTTAAATTGAATCCCAACATGCAGACATCCTCATTCTTTAACCCATTGAGCAACAGTGTTCTTCCCTAGATGACTAAACTGGTAACTCTGTAACCTCTGTTAGACTGCAGAATAAAACAATATAAAGTAGACACCTTGGGGCAAGGGTGCATTGCTATTGGGGCAAAATGCATGCAAAGCAACTCTCTTTAATATGCATCTGCCGATTCTGCCTTGTAATTACTTGCATGTAAGGGGGTGTTTATACGGAGGCAAGATAGCCCGTCTACCTAGGCTAGTTTGTGCGGACCAGCCCGGTTACATATAAACACAAGATTAATATTAGCATAATAACATTACAACATTAGATATCTGCAAAGTGACCTAGCTCATGTACCTGGGCTTGTTCATCTCCATATAAACACCCACTAAGATGGAATCCTACTCTAAATTGATATATTTTTGTGACCTACTAGCAAATAGTCTGAGTAACTGCCCAAAAGGATGATGTAAATTAATATATGTTGTAAGTATGTGTGCATAAAATTGTGGTCTTTAATTTATACAAACCTCCTTACAACCATACACCAGCAGATCCGAGTCTTCTGTTATTGCAAAGTCTGCATAACCTTGCTTCACCAAAAATGCAAGTTGAGCATCTGACTCATACGGGGAAACAATATATGTCACTCCTTGACTCAGGCATACCTGAAACGAAATATTAGATGCGGTAAATTTTTGGAAAGTTACAAATAAAAGTGGATTTCTATTTACTTTAATACATACATTTTTACAAATAAAAATATTATATATACTGGGCATTTATGTATAATATAAATATACTGGGCATTTATATATAATATAAATATACTGGGCATTTATTATTTCAAAAATACGTTTCCTTCGACAAGCACATAAACATGTGCATACAGTAAAAGCAAACTTCATGCAGTACCTTCACACACTCAACAACAAACATAAACACGTGCATAAAATCAAACTACATGCAGTACCTTCACACACTCAACAACATCATCGTAATTCATTTCTACAGACCGGCTCAACATCTTGTTTCTATCCTCGTCTTTTGTTTGCTCATCTACAGTGGCATTCATCAACTGTTCTTGTCTCTGCCTATAGAATACAGAAACCATGAAATCAACATTTATGACAGAGCCACCAGGTTAACACGTTGTATTATATATATATGTTCATCACCTTTGTCTTCGGCAGTTTTCTTTTGCTTTGGCTTCAAGTGGTTTTCCATCGAAAACTACAATATGCGTAATCTTCGAATCGATCAGTAGCTGTAGGTACCTTTTAAATGTTTGGGAAAACCTAGATAAAAAGAACTGATCAGTCTCGATGACGAAGAGAATTTCCAGTGCAAAAATATTACTGTAAATACAGACAACTATTTTTTACTTTTTTTGTTTTCCTGTCTGTGATACCGATATTGCTAAACCTTTGTGTATCCAGCACGATGCATCTACTGCAGCCACTTTGCCCGTAAAATTAGCTATGTTGACTTCCTTTGAATAGGTCTTCAAATAGGGGAAAAGACAATTGATCCACATCAAATATTTATAAATTTACACAACTGATTTGGTTATCAAAGGAAACCGCGCTGCAGATAAGTTCACTCGACTAGCGTCATATGCAAATGATTGCAAAATGCAAAATAACACCGAAATGACCAGCATGCTTTGCGGTCGTATAGCGCACACCACCTGTGTTAGATCTGACAAGGGTGGTGAGAACGTCCAGGTTGCTTGGTTCATGTTGAATCACCCACAACATGGGCCTGGAAGAGGAAGTATGATAACAGGTTTGTGGCATGGAAATGCCAGAATATATACTGTATTTACACAGACTTATCCTTTTTGTCAATAGTTTGTGTGATAGTAAATCTGTGACTGGTTTGAATTAACTAATACTGTCATTGGTTGATGATAGTGCAGTATAAGACAATTTTAATCTGTGCTTTTGTTGCTATGATATATTTAGGAAGACAATGTTAATGAATTCATAGATTCTGTTGCCGGGCAAGCTGAAAAGAGCTTGTCCGTTGCTCAGTTGGTGGAGCCTTGGACTAGCATACCAAAGGTCGCAGGTTCGAATCCCACCGTGGTCAAGTTGTTTTTCAGCTTGCCTGGTGTGGAATCTACACTCAGAGTAGCAGAAAAGAAATTAAAGCAGATTAAAGCAACACAGATACATTGGGAAAAAAATAATTTGAAAATTTTTAAGTATTTCAAAAACCTTTCCTGTATACTAGGTAAAAGTATTCATAACCAAAGAATTGAGAGGCTTTGGCGTGATATATTCCAAGGATGCACTGGTGTCTTCTATGATCTATTCTGCGAGATGGAGGGGCTTGGTTTGCTGGATCCGAACAACGACACACACTTGTGGTGCCTTCATTCAATCTTTCTCCCATTGATTAACAACCATTTGACATCCTGGAAAGATGCCTGGATTCGGCACCCACTTAGTTCGGAGAAGAATAAGACCCCTTTGCAACTATGGATACAAGGCCTGAATGCCATATCAATGACAAATTCCACAGTGGCACGCGAAGTCTTTCAGGTTGGGGTCAACAACCTTTTATGTTTCCCAACCATGCATGTCAATTATGTATTAATGATTTCTTCATTACTCCATTAGGAAGGTGAAGACTATCAGAATTATGGAGTCGACTGGGAAGAAGCAGTTGGAGAAATAGAACCCGATATGGTGGAAGTTCCCGAAACTAACTCTGGGTTGAATGAAGAGCAAGCTGATGAAATTAGGAGCCAAATCCCAGCCAACGTAACAATTAATAATGCTTTTGATGTTTATTATGATATTCTGAACAGATCATTAACAATGCTAGGTTGACGAAATGGCTATATGGCAAAAAGTGTAAATGATACTTAATTTAAAGTAATCATGGTAATAAAATAAATATTTTATTATCCATGATTTAATTAAGGTGGAAAAGCCATAACGAAATGAACAGGATGCAATAAACAGGATTATTGTATAATCTTTATTTTAATCTTTATAATCTTTATGTGCAGGCTTATTTTTAAAGAGGCGGTCAAGTCAAATCTTGAGGGCTTCCAATGTAAACAAAATGAAATCTTGTGTTTGTTTGAATTGTTTTGAAATCTTATAAATCACAAACTCTAAGACCAAGCAACCAGAACAAGGTTACTGTTAGATGTTGACAAAGAATATTCCTAGTTTATAAGTATGGTACAGAAATGATGGTGTGTCCATCCGAATGTTAAAATTGGATGCAAATAACAAAACTATATTATATAGTGCAAACGCAGTTAAATTGTTAACCACTCAGCTAATTATGAATGATGTATGCCCAGAGAACCATGAGTGAGAGCTATGTCTATAAATTTCTTGAAATCATCATACGATTCATGGACTGTTGGGAGGGATATAGCAAAAAAACAAGTTTCAGCAACAGGCAAAGGGCTGTTATCCTCTTGGAATTTCACCTGCAGAGTACCATTCCGGGGTGGTAAATTGTTCATGGCTGTCCAAAAACAGCAAAGGTCAATGGAAGGTTTGCCTAGATAACAGAAATGTCCATATTATTGAACAAATACTCATCAGTGACAATGTTCTGCATTGATGTGTATCTCCAATTGCAAATAAATGCATTTTTGTTATTTTCCATGACTATTTCACCTAATCTTAATACACTGTTAGGACCTAGTTTGACTATTGAAAACGCGAACTAAAGTACAATTATAATACCTTCATCATATTTCTCCAGTTCGTTGAGGTATTGGTACAGATACAGGATTGTGTCCTCGTGGCCTGTTGGCTCTTCAAAGATGATGGCCTCCTTCATCTGCTCGGCTGTCACGAATCGCATTTCAGACCTCGGGAACAGGCTTTTTACGACATCAATGCTGCATTTACCCATGAAGTTATGAAACCCAACTTCATTCATGCCTGCAGAGAACAAAAGTTTTGTACACTGTGACAGGGGTTGGCAATAATTGAGTCTTTTTGGGGGGGGGGGTTAATTATATGTAAATGCTGGATAAATTAGTCCTGACAGCACACTATGCAGGCTATAGTTGACCATAAAAGTTGAATCTTAATTTGTCAGTTTAACAACACTAATTTACTACGAATTTCAGAAGAAAGAGAATTATTGCAGAAACGCGCTCACCAATTTGTATTTACAACCATTTTCGAATCGAACACAAAATACTGTGCAAGCCCACTTGTAACTGCATACCTTTTGCAATGTCATCCAATTCTCTCCTCCTCTTGTGTATGACAAAGTACACAACCATACCTTGTATCAGCAACTTCCTGTTACCATTTAGCATGTGGATATCTAATCCAGCCTCGAAAATATAGGGCGTGATTCCATCCTTGAGATCATCACTAACAGGTTCATCTTGTGACAGATCTTCAAGCTGCAAAAACGAAATCACTAGTGTTGAGTGAAATTACTTGGCTATACGCATTGCTAGGTGCGCTTGTCCCTATCTTACCACCTATCTTACCTAAGCCTGCTACACGGCTAAAAACGCACAGGTTTTTTCCAAGTTGATATCGACAGGCGTGAACAATGTTGTGCGGCCAACTATGAACAAGTTGTCAACCATGTTGTTCCAAGTTGTTACAGTTGAACAATGGTTACAATGCTGTAACAACATGTGGGCCGCACAACCTTGTTCACGCCTGTTGATATCAACCTGGAACAAGTTGTTGATTTTCTCAATTTTTACACGTGTACTGCAAAAGTCTGAACACGGTATTTACCTCTGCTTGGGCTTGATAAGTAGAGTTTCGGCTTCTCAGGATTTTCTCCGTGTACTACTGCGGTTTTCCTCCCTCGCGACAAACTAACTTGGACATTAATATCTAAGCCTCTGGGCCTTAGCAATTGGGTTGTACGTTAAACCTGTTTTAGGCTTTTCGTTCACCACTCATTTGGGGTTAAAAGAGAAAATACAAAAAGTGTCCAACTTCTTCTTCTGTAGCGTTCTTCTTTTAATACCGGTTAATTAACTGGCAGTTACTGAAGCCTTTTCATAAATACAGTAACGGTTACAAAAATACAATAGCATTGTCGTTTAAAATGCTATCTTCTCATTTTTTCTGTTATTAATAGTGTTTCTGTAGTCGTTACTGTCTTTGTGAAAAGACTTAAGTAATTGAAAGTTAATTGTCCACCTCCGAATTAAGCTTCATTGACAACAAAGATTATTTTGAGAACGAGGTTCCGTGCAAACTTGTAATGTTTTGTATTGATTTGGCACTGGACCTCGACCTGATGTTGCTGTAGATCGTAACCACTGATCGTAACTTGGAATTAGTCCATCAACTGGTATTCCAGAAGAACGCAACAAACAACAGAATCAGAAGTGGGACACTATTTGCATTTTCACTAATGGGCTAGTCTATTCTTATTATAATCATAAATATACAATAGAGTACACTATCTTGGTACCATTCTATCGCTTGCTGAATATGTACAGTAAACTATACTTTTTGTTATCACCCCTTTCCCAAAGTGTACATTTGTTTAATATTTACCTGTGTAATATATTGTCTCAATTCAACATCTGGAGTATCCGCCAAACCTAATGCGAGACTTTCCAATAAAAGGTCGTCGACGTCACCGTTTACAGTTAATACCCAATACTGCAAAATTGCTTCGGACAAACCGTACACGAATGGGCCCGAGTGCAAAATCGAGTGACCAATAATTCGGCCAATAGCTGTAAATGCACCTGTGCATCTCAAAGCATGGCCATGCACTGGTATTTTATGGTTGTCCTCGCCTTCAAAATATAGCAAAGGTTTGCCATACTTCTTCTGGGCCATCTTCAACGATTTTCATCGCACAGAGAAGAAATTCTCTTATTGGGCCACTTCCTACACCTTCTTCACCTTCGAATTTCACTCGAGGTTTGGCTGTGAGCTTTACTCTGGGATTCTTATAGCACTCAAGAATATCTTTCTTCAGCTCGTCCATACCATCTTCCCGCGAAACAGTGAACCTCTGCCTGGTTAACGATTCATCGATGGTACTTTCTCTGAATTGTTCCAATTCTGATTTACTTGGATTTGTTTTCGGAGGTTCTTCCAGGTACATGGACGTTGTTGCAATTATCTCCACGTCATCATCACTGTCGGCCACAATGTCATCTAATCCTAAAAAGTTAATATGGGATTTTACGATAAATATTCTAAAATCCACTCACTTTTCAACTTGTGGTCTGCAACTCATTATATATGTCTAAAGCAGCAAAACACACATGAATCGTACCTAATAAATGTTGTGCGGCAGCATCGACATCTCCACCCGCATTTGAAAGGGCTTAATCGATTTTGTCTGGAGTAGCTGCAGGCACCACATCCTGAAGTCGTTTCTTAGATTCATATGAGCTAAACATGTAACAAATGAAGCATTACAAAATAAAGGTGTTTTTACGCATTTGGTTTTCCATCTTCGTTAGTTATATCACCGGGAATTTTCGCCTTCATCAGTTCTGTGCAGCATGTCCAGGATGCAAGGTGTGTTCCCTTTCTCTTTTTTATCTACAAAAATATTAAATATGGCAAAGACGTTTAAAGGCACAGCACTAGGCAAATCAATTAAGCATCATTCGAGATCAGTGATTTCATTGTTTTTAACATTTTTAAACATTTTATTTTATTTGCAACCATGTACTGTAAGTCTGTAACGTCAAATACATATATGACATATAAATGTTGCGTATTTTTGTTAATTTTTGCTATTTGTGTATACTTGTACACCATGCAACATGTACTGATATAGTGATATCCTGTTATATTTCAAACAAAGTGAAAAATCCTGACAACTAAGCATGGAAATAAAACAGAATTTAAGAGAATTTATTACCATGATATGGGAATATTTCTGAACTTCACACACTGACAACTATTTCCCCCAACGATATTCTACCTGGGGTTCATTGTTGTGCACCAACATGCGGTGTTCTTCAACAGATCCCATTGGTATCACAGCACTGCACAAGATACATGAAATTACGAGTCCAGCCACCGCACAGACAAGATGCTGCAAAATGAAGCATTTTTTGTGTCACATCATGTCATGTCATAACATGTTCATTTGTCTAATTTAGTATTGCCCTCTAAAAACGTGTATAATTGCCTCTTCCCATTATATACAGTATTAATGGCTATAAGCAACTTGTCTCGCAATGGCTTCATTTTTAAAATATTTAGCCATTGCACGACCAGGGATGTTACACTATGCAATTTGTTTTGCAACTTGTCTCGCAATCATGAGCGATGTGGGCTAATATTTAATAATGAGTTTTTATTGGCTGATCAACAAAATCGTTGCGAGACAAGTTGCAAGAGGGGTGTGACACTGTTGAGGCCCGTTTACACTTGCAATTTTTGCTGCGATTTCCAGTGCGATTTTCTTCTTCTGATGCATGTGAACGAGTGGATGAGCTATTAATGTTCTTCATTGTTCTGAGTTTATGTACCCTCCTCTGAACATTCATAACTTATCTACTCGCTCACATCCATCAGAAGAAGAAAATCGCAGCAAAAATTGCAAGTGTAAACGGGCCTTTAAATTTCTTGCAGCGTTGCCGCAATCGTTGCGAAAAGTAAAACCTGCTTCTACTTTGTGCAACGCAACTAATGCAGCAAAAATATTGCACAACTTGATGACTGCGAGGCATGTTACACTATGCAATTTGTGTCGCAACAAAATTGTGGGACAAATTGCGAGACAAGTTGCACAGTGTAAGAGCGCCTTATGGTTCTAGGTTTAATTTTTGAAAGGTTAACATAGTGGCATAAATGTAGTTAGTTGCTTTGCGTAGCCTGTTACTACTGAAACTCTGAAGATAAACTAATTAATTTAACACAAATGTCAAACACAATACTGTTACTCTGTAAAATTACAATCATTATAAAATAGGTCAACGTCAATGACCAATAGACTTTTCCGGTAATTACGTCACAACTCACACTGTTTTAACTTAGGACAACTTAGGATCACCTTAAATGGGATGGATTTCAAGTTTGTTTCTCACGGGCTATGGACACGGACTATGGTTTTGGATTTTGACCAATAAATGTGGAAATAAGCTTAAACACGAAATCAAGGCTGAGGAGTCATGCAATTCTTTTTATGCATGTGTTGACGAAGGATGTAATCTGCTTCTCTGTCCATAGCTCATGAAATCCATTCCATTTAAGGTGGCCCTAAGTTGAAAACAATGTAGTTGTGACGTAATTACCGGAAAGGTCTATTGAGGAATAGCCACATAATAAATTCCTTATTTAAATTAGAGTAACGCGTCACCATAACGGGCAACAGTCTAAAACAAGTACCAAAACAACTCAAGAGAGCAAGCTAGCCACACATTAAATACATAAGATCTGAGGTTTGTTCCGTGGTACCATGGTAAAGTTGACGTTTCCATTTTTTTTAGAAACTAACATACTACGAGCTGATTGTGTAACGGTGACCCGAAAAGAAAATATTACATAATATGTATTCTCTCATATATATTGTGATCCGCCGTTTATTCAGCGTATACAACACTTCAGATCATTTCCAAATTCCGGCACTTGTTGAATAACTTATGAATGCTTAAGTGCATAACTATGATTTAAATACTTCGCATGCACACTGGTCCAAAGATTTTGAAAGGGCTGTTAGTATTGCTATAAATCCCCCAAAAAACTAACCTCCTCTTCTTCTTCTACATCTTCAGCATCACTCTCAGTTTCAACGAGGTCTTTTTGGAGAGGCTTTATGTAGATCTTACATTGCTCAGCCACCACTTTCAATTTCCTGGGCAAATATGGGTGCTTTAAAACACAAAACGAAGAATTTTCTCCAGCACGGTCATACAATTGTAGATCGTATCCACTCTCTGCAAGCTTTGGAAATGCTTCCAAAATTTTCTCATGGCAGTGAGAGCTGTCACCGTTCAAGTCAAACACAATTGACGCATCGCCAAGACCAGCATTGGACAGAGCGGTCCTCTCCTTCACACTCGTCAGTGGCTTGACAGGGTAACGAGTAGCCAAACATACAAACTTTAACGTGCATGTCTGCCCTGCACTTTGCTTCTTAGATTTTCCTCTTGAGTTCGCTTTACCTCTGTAACCAAAAAGCCTCTTATGCTCATCAACCTGGCTGCCACCAATTCGTGGTCTTGGTAACGTGATTGTTGGCACACTAAGTGCAGCACGTGTGTGTGATGTGCTTGGCTCAGGTGAATTACGCACACTTGGTCGTGATGCACTACCTACAGCATTTGTGCACAAATTGCTCCGCGATGGAGACTCTTGGTGACTCGATTCTCCTGCTTCTTGATCTTGGTGTGCTGAAATTTGAAATTCTGAATTATCAAATGCCACTGGCATTACTGCATTTAAGTTGGCTCCCTACAGTTTCTTGAAATATGGTTTAAGCTAATGATTTGGATCAAATTTTTGTCGCTAGTCACTAATTTTTGTTGATAGTCACTAGTTTATAGGAAACAGGAATTGTGTGACTTTATTTTAACTACATCACAGAGTAGATAAGACATACAGAGACGTAACTGACCGTTGTAAACACTGCGGAAGATTACGTTATCATGTACCCACTTTTTTTCAGGCGACCAGGCGAAAAATGATCAACTGCGCGTGCTCAGCAAGTTTAAAGTGAGTCGTCATCAGGTTGTCATCCAATCAGATGCATGCATCTAGTAACTTGCCGAGCATGCGCACAAAAAAGTGGGTACACTAGTTACGTCTCTGTATGTCTCTACTCTGTGACTATATTCTTAGAGTTGGAAGTGATTCATACAAATGACGTTACTGATGTTGCTATGGCAACAATGACGTTTCAATATGGCTGATATTTTTGCTTTAAACATATTTTACTCCAGAAAATGGCCGGTTACTCCCCATTTTGCGAAATGCTGTCTGCAAGTATAATGGAATAATCCAAACAAATTTTAAAAAAATTCTGTAGAACCATTTTTAAAAAAATTAATAAACATGATTATAGACAGGGTAAATACAAAAGTAGGCGCAATTGCGGCGCATTGCAAATCAATGGGTGTTTACCCCCTTCAAATTTTTGGCATCCCCCAAAAATTCAAATTGTGACTTTTATTTCACAGCTCACTAGTCACTGCGAGTAATAACTGTGCTTGATATATAATTTGTGCTATTTATTGTAGTTCTATTTGCTTTTAATGCCCGCAGCAATCCCTACATTGCAGATACCCTAGTTGTATAAATAAATGACAAATAAAATTATAAAAGGCTGATGGACCGGAAAGAAAAGTGCGCAAAATTATGCTAAATTGACAAGTACTATCAAATTACACCACATGGCCTCATGATTTAATATATAAAGAAAACCATCTGCCTTTCTGCCGCATCAAAAGTTCACGTTGACGCACGCATTGTTTTTGCCATTACACTCTAAATATTAAAATGTATCGATTATTTATAATGCGACTATTAGGAATTTTTATAATATAATCTAATAAATAAAATAATATTATCAATTTTTATACATTACCAGCTGTTGACTGTTGTCTCAATCGCTCAGCAACTTCCAACAAAGCATCTCTTGCTGAAATTATTGCCTCTGGGTTCATTCTAGCTACGAGATTTTGCGCGTTTTGTGTCTCTAGCAATTCAATCTGCGTTATAAAAGTCGATTATATACGCGAATATTATGGCGAATATACGGCCTCGAATACAGCGTAACTGAGCGTAACAGCGACTAGAAGATGCGGCGAATCCGATCCTCTGCTGCCGTCATGCATTAGTGGCGTCATGTGATATGTTCTGGTCTGGACCACAGCTCAGTGGTCTGGACACGAATGAATTTGGCAGGGGGGTTGTCTTGTGTTAGCTTAATTAATATTGGCGGAGATTTGACGCTATCGTTTAACTCCGCCAATATTCAACATGTGATGATTTTTTTTCAACATATTTTGAACGTTGAAGTTGCGATGGGTGCTAAATTCGCGGCATGTTCAATGTCCGGTTTAACTTCAATGTCAAAACCACATGGGTGTTCAATGTCTTATTTAACTTCAATGTCGAAAGCACGTAGGTGCTGAATGTCTTATTTAACTTCAATGTCGAAAATATGTTGAATGTTCTGCATGTTCAATGTCCTATTTAACTTCAATGTCGAAAGCACGTAGGTGCTGAATGTCTTATTTAACTTCAATGTCGAAAATATGTTGAATGTTCTGCATGTTCAATGTCAGATTTATCTTCAATGTCGAAAGCACGTAGGTGCTGAATGTCCTATTTAACTTCAATGTCGAAAGCATGATATACATGAATATTGGCGGTGATATGACGCCGCATATACAATGATAGTAAATTAGGATTAAGCCTAAGGCTAAGAGATTGTATATGATGTGTAACCTCATCAATAGAATGACAATATGAATGGATTGAACATTTTATCTTATTTGGTTAAAATTAAACTTCATAGGCTATTCCTAGGTCCTAAACTACTCTCTCATAGACTCCATAGGTCCTAAACTACTCTCTGGGACTACACTCGAAATGGTCGAAGTGTCAGAGTTTACAGTTGTACAATTACCGACACTGTCCTTGTCTTGAAACTGGTCGCAAGTGCTTAGACTTTCAGCGCCCATAGGGCTATCCGATGTAAACTCTTCCTGGACGTCCTCTGAGCTTGGAACCCATTCGGATATATCAGCCTCTTGAACGTTCTCTGAGTTTGGTACCCGGTTGGGTATATGAGATTGATTGCATTCTCCAGTGGCTTTGGAGAAAAATGAAGTTATCCTTTTGCATGTATTTGCTTCCTTTTGCAGAATTTTTTCATTTTCTGCCTTTCGTTTTGTTGCATTAGACATTCTCAATCACATATTGACAATATTTTAATATGTTTTGTAGAAAATGAAATCCCAAAAAATGTTATGAAAACAATTTAAAAAAGCAAATTTCGAAAAACAACCAGGTCAATTACAATGCGCCTGCGTTATGAACTGATTCATGTACATGTACTTCGTTTTACACAAATATAAGGAATAGACCACTGATCTGAATAAAACTGTATTATTCTGTTATTATTTAAATGGTAGGAAATTTAACTGTCCTTGCCCACTGCCCAGAGTAGTGCATGCATTTTTATTTTATGCTATGTGCTAAAGTAACAACATGACAATTTAGTGGGGGGGGGGCCAAAACCCATCAGTGGGGGGGGGGCCAAAGGAGGGGGTGGGGGTCCTTGGCCCCCCACGTATATAGTTAAAAAAGGCCCTAAACAGTGTGGTTGTTATTTATTTAGTATTATAAAAGTCTATCCTGATACTTGGACCAAGAGAATTTATTTATTGATGAGATGTGGAATTGCAACGAAATAGCGAGATCTTTTAAAAGATTCCCGAAATATCGCCAACTGTATCCAGATTGTTAATGATCTATATAAAGGCCTTATCAAAAAAACTTAAAGCCCGTCAAAAGACTATAAAATTGGCCCTTGGCATTGCTGAAACCAACGATCATGGTATATGTCAAAGTATAGCTGTCTGTTGAAAATCTACGGTATTAAAATCATACACCAAAGATAAGTCAAACGACAAATTATAATAATAATAATATAATATAATGAATTTGTCACTTTATACACGATACAAACTAATTAATTAAAGACAAATAAAGACAGATACAAATCGTGACAGGGGAAAGGAACAGGACTCTCGTCCCAATTGACACCTAACCCCTAAAAAGACGTTAAATATAAATAAGTCAAAGTCAGTTACTAGTGCTTGAAATTCAATTGTTTTGTTCACTAAACTTCGGGCGTTGAAATAAAGACATCGCATGTTGTGATCTAACTGTTGTGGTGGAACGTGTTCAGGTGTATCTTCTGGACCCGGATTCATCTCTACGTCGTTTGCCAAGAGGATTAACAAAAGCGGCAAAACCGACCTTTGTAGTAATTTCAGGCCATTTGAGAATCGAAGAACTGGTAGGGAGTTTATGTGTTTCCTCACGCGACGAGCTTGAACAAAACACGGTGGTGAAAGAGCTTTCGTTGATGCATAAAACAAGTTTATTTTGCTTTCTTCAGTGACTTGAAAACCACGTAAAATTAACCACAAAAAGAATAGAAAGTAGCTCAATTTGGCTGCAATCATGTTCAATAATCAGGAAAAATCTGTTCTAATCAATTCTAGTTTGCGTACGCGATCCAATTTTCTTCAATTAAACTTGCGAGATTGCGTGTTCGTTTGCACTCGCCAGTATCAACCGTCCCTTGTTTGCGCGTGCAGGAAAAGACAACGGAAACTTCAATTCAACGTTAAATCCAACAAATTATTCAGCCAATAATAACGATAATTTCAAAAAAAAACTTATATCTTTAATCCAGGAGACTTTAGCCAATGTTTTGTAAGTTTTTTTACTCAGAACTTCAATCACAAAGTGTAAAATCCTTAGGATTTTACGGAGCTCTGCGGCGCCCGCCCGCCGCGCACGAGCACGATCACGAGGATCAAATTATATGTCACTATATATTTATACGTGTCTTTCAATGAGCACTGTTTTAAAGTAGTGTTCACCACCTTTATAAATTTTGTAAACAGCTTTCGTTTTGACATGAATTAGGCCCGGTTTAGACGGCGAACTTTTCATGCGCCGAATCTAATGCAAGGATTAAGTGCGACGTTGGAGCGGCGTCTAAATCAATTAAGTTCGGCAGGTTTTGATTA